GTTTCTTTTCTTCAAAGATAATCTTTCTAATATTACCAACAACCTTACGTGAACAGAAAGCTGTAGACAGGCAGAAATGTTGTTTTGAGAGAGCAGTGGCTTTCTGTTTCCAGCACTTGCAATGCACACTGTTCTTGTTCACTGTTCTCCTGATGATTTTCTTAAGAACATTAATATTAACCAATGTGAGAGAGGCCTTTACTTAGAAATCACACTCTTGGAATAAAGTCTGCTGATCTGCTTTACATGGACAGGGTAACAAAAGGACCGTCTGTCTGATCACATTCAAAAAATATGTTTCTGTACAAAATAATTTCTCAATGTTTTCCAGCTAAACACAATAAAACATTGCTTTTCTAAAAGTTTTCTAATAGATTGCCTTTTAACAATGCACAAATAACCTCAGAGGACCTAATGCTTATCATCAGTGAGTCAATAAGCGATTTGGATCTAGAGGTTGGAATTAAACTCACATCCACAAGAGTAATCTTCACAGATAATCACAGATATGAATGTATTCAGCGTTTAAAAAAAATCAAATGATTTTCCAGACTAGTGTTTTGAAAATTCTCCCAAATCATGTTCAGCTTTTGTCCAAATCCACAAATGAAACAGACAGGAAAGAAAAGTCAAACAGGAAGTGAAAGCCTGCATAAATAAATACCTCTCATTCCACGGTTCATGACCAATTTATGCTCATCTGGTGAAAGGAGATTTAGGTTTTCAGCTTGGAGATGCTCCATGTCAAGTCCAGTCACACTAAGCAGCAGCAAAACCACTGCTGGCGACAGGCATCTCAAATACTTCATCCTTTACTTTTTCTGTGATCAAACCAACAGCATTTTTTTTAGTGATATGAGCTGATGTAACAAATACAAAACTCCATCCATCCATCTATTTTCCTCCGCGTATCCAGGCCGGGTCTCAGGGGCAGCAGCCTAAGCAGACAACCCCAGACCTCCCTCTCCCCGGCCACCTCCTAATACAAAACTGTGCTGAAGAAATATAAAATCAAAGCACTTACATTAAGTAGAGCCACCCGTGTCCTGAAACACAGTGTAGAAATGTGTTGTCTGTACCAGAATCGTCTCCCACTCTGTATTTGTCTCCTCTGATCGAATGACAAGCAGCAGAAACACAAACACAACGGCCGACAGCTGAGTTCGGATTGAGAGACTGAATTGCAGTGCCCGTGCCCAGCTAGAGTTGGACTTTATCCTCAGGTTCACCTTAAAATGATAGACACCAGTCCTCGACTTATCTGTGCAAAGTGAGATAAAACCCACATTTAAACACATATCTCTGCCTTACTTAAATCACTTCAACTGTGAATGAGGTTTAAAGTCCAGCTGAGACTGAACTGTAAAGGTTCAGCCTTTGCTCATTTCACTCCTCCTCCTATTGAGTGTTTTTGTGAGTTAATTGGAGTGTGAAAGCCCCTGATCTCAACTGGTGTTTGCCCTCTGCTTCAATACAAGCCTATTATCTCGATTTATATCTAACAAGCTTTGTGTTCTGCTACAGTACTTAACGTTGGTGATTCTGTAACCTTCTGTATCATTAGTAGTTTAGACCCTTGTTATTTCTTGGACACTGGGATATGTATGAGAAAAAAAACTGCCCCATTGGACTTGAATATATCCAGAGGTATTACAGTAGTACACAGAGTACGGTTTTATTTTTGAGTTAGCACGCTGCACAGGACTGAAGCATGTTCATTGCATTTTACACATAGACTTAATTAAATAACCTCTTTTTAAATTCTGATCTCTTTTATTTCTTTATGTCATTTAACATCCATCAGTCTTTCCTCCCCATGTGAATTTTTAGTGTTTTTGTAACATATCATTATAATATCAATCACAAATTACAAAAAAGTGTTAATCATTAATGAAGCAGTTAAAAGCACAAAAATCTTACAGTCATCACAATATCGGAGTTGTGAAAATAAGTGGATCATTATTTACAAAATACTACTTTGCTACTTAAGAGAGAAATTATGAGCCTTGTCACACCATTGTTGTTGTAGACATTGCTCAATTCTTTAGTTGCTTAAGCTGCTCTGCAAATACATCCAGCCCACACTAAGAGCTAGTCAGTGCAAACATCAGCAGCTACTATGAATAACACTTTCAAAACTAAGGAGACTGTTCATGCGCCTTGAAGCGAATAAAATTGAACTGTTAACGGAGAACGATGTGTTCAGGATCTTCACTGCTGTCATGTGAGTTTAGACAGGAAAGAATCGATGACCTAAGGGGCAAAAAGATGCACATAAAATTCAAAAACATAAACACACACATATATACATATAACTAACAGTGTTAAATTCTGAATGTTTACCTTTGCCATGTCTCCTGCAGGTCCTGGAACAGACTTCAAAAAGGGTTCCTGCTGCCACAATTCCCATAACTGCTGATTAAAAACTTGAAAGTTTCTGCAACAAAGGAATGAATCATACAACTCTGGCAAATTAATGTCAAAAGATTGTTTTGGGTTTTTTTTAAATTAAAAATAAATATTTAAACCTACTCATCCAGCAGAGAGTTTGTTGAGCCACTGAAGCCACTATCTTTTAGATCCTCCCACCAGTTTTTTAAAACTGAATTTACCCACTTTAGGCCAGCAGTAAGATGCCTATGTAGATAAAAGAAAATACAAAAAAATAACTATCCTGCTGCTAAACACAATGTTATTGTGCATGTGTAAAGTGTTTTAATCGGCAGGATTACTCACTCTTCATATGGACTGCTGAGGACTTTGCTAACTAAAGGAAAGAGGTCGACACAACAGCCGATGGATATCTTTGAAGAATCCTCATCGATGCTGCAGGGAAAATATAAAAATTATTGTAGTAACACTGTAATCTTAGTGGTACTAGGATATTTGCAAAACTCAGTGCTCACCATTTGCTTATGAGGGGGAGAAAGTCAACAAACACACCAGTATCTTGGATTCTGTTCAAAAAATATGATGTAATCAAACTTTGGAGATACTAGCAAACAAACATTGGCACATGTTTGAAAGCAGCTGCACGGCGCACACCTCAGAAAGTATGTCAGCAGCTCTCCAACATTTCTCTGCCACAACGTTAAAGCCACTTTGAGTCTTAGATTTCTTCCAAAAAGCACGTCAGTCAGTGTGTTGTGATCCCTCGTGAGCTGGAAAACATAGTCAGCTTTAAGTAGTTTCAGCTGCGTGTTTGCAAGAAAAGTAATTCATAAAACAATGCAAACATGAAAAGGTCTTACTGACCTCAGTCAATACACAGTAGTCAGCCTCTTCTGAACCAGTTCTATCAGTTCCTTGGTTGTTATTGATATTATTGACATGAAATGGGAAATCCCAGGGGTCCATACTGAAAATATCCTGCTGTGTGCCCTGCAAGACTTTTGTCTCATTTTCCTTGTTTGCAGCATCACAAGTTCTCCCAGACCCAAGCTGCTTTCTTCGAGCCACAGTCAGATGATGAGTCTTCCTTTTACATGACACTACCCGCTTCACTCTGCCTGGGTTGTTCCCAGAGCGGCTAACCGGGTATCTGGATGGGGTAAAATTCCAAATATAGCTTTTAATCAAAAACAAATGGCTGTAAGAAATGCAAAACAGGCAGGAAATACCTCTTTTTGTTGCACTCTTCATTTGCAGCATCATCCACCTGAATCTAAAAAGACAAAACATGGCGATGCAAAACACAGTTAGCGGCATAAAAAGCACCAGGAACCAGAAATAGATTTGTGCATCATAATGACCAACCCAGCTCACCTGTTTTGTGTTTCTCCCTTTAGGATAGCTCACTTTGTACTGTGCTGCATCATGATGGAAGCGATCCTCAACATTTTGGCTCTCTGCATCTTCAGTGTTGGGGTCCATTATATCTAAAAAGAAAGGATATATGAATGAGTTAACAAATTTGTAAACACGACAAAATACATACATACCTCATTGAACCTTAGAGCCTTTGCCTGAAAATCATCACGCACTAAGATCAACTTAATGGATTATTTATATAATTTTTGCTCATTTCCTATCTTTTACCATTTTTGTAAAACAAGATAAAAACTTTTAAGGTGATTAAAAAATGCATATCAGAGGATTTTAGAGGTTAACAGTGTATGAATCTTGTGTTTCTGGCCATAAATGGCTACACATTGTGGACAGTGTAAACATTATCTTGTCCCCACAACATACGGGCTACACATGTCCAAATACACCGTTTACCACTGTAAACAAAGTAAGATAGTAATAATACATTTTTGCCAGTAAATCAATCATTTATTATCCATCTAATATTCTGTTTATAAAGCGACACGCTGAAAAACAACATCTCCCACAATCCACTCGGCCATTGTTATCGTTCTGCACGATGACGTAGTCAGGAAGTGCTCTCCAGCCAAAACAGCTGGTTGAGTTTAGCTTAGCTGTAACTCTTTGAAGTTTTTATTTTTCTGAATATATGTAATCTATTCAGAACAGAAGACGTTTGCGCTTTTGGAGACGATCATTCACTGCCTTTAGCTTAACTGTAAGTGTTGTACAGAGGCATGAATTTCTTTGTTTCCTATTGGACTTAATGCAAAGTATTAGCTTTGATTTGTCGCTAACAAGTAATTAAGCCAGGTAGCTAACAGCTAACCAGACAAAAAGAAAGAAGCTTTTTAATTGTGTTCCAACCAGCGGTCGAGGAAATACATGTGAAAATAAATGCGTCACGGCATTTAAAGTGAAATAAATAAACAAACCTGTAAGCGTTCACAGTAAATATGATGTACTCACCTTGCGCTGCTTCGCCAAACAGAGATAAGACAGTTAAACACTTTGATTCTTTTTACGCAACTACCAACTAGCCGACGGTAGATACCGCCCATCATTAGAGAATAAAGCAGCCTATTCATGATTCAGCTGTTGGACTGTGCACCCTCTATCGGCTATTGACACAGTGTTGGTGCACGTTTCACAACCAAAACACACAGCTAAGAGAATCATCAATGATTAGCCTAACTGACAGTCAATGTAACTGATAGATCAGATCAGCTTGTATAGCTTGATTTTTACTCAATTAAAAAGCACGATTTTGTCTTCATGGGCTGTGACACTGATAGTGTCTTTGTCCTGGTAAGTCCAGCATATCAGCTGCTTGCCTTTGCATTTAATTGATCTGAGGCAAGCCATAGCATGTGAGCTTATCTCTTCTGTCTTTCACTGCAGTACTGCTCCGAAAGCACAATAAAAAGCAACATCACATGCTTTGATTGTCACATCATCTATTTCTAAACTTGTTGCTTACTCTGCTGTTTTGGTTCTGCAGTTTCAATGGAGGTTAACTGATTTGGACATACTCAACAGAGACCAAAACACAGTATGTGACTTTGTTTATCCTAACTACTCAGCATGTGTAAACACCCCCTGAGGTCATGTCATTTACTGGAAGGCTTTAAATATGTCAATATTTCCAAATTTTTTTATACTAGTGCCTTTAGAGTCATGTGATTTTTGTTATGAGAAGTCGGAGATCATGTGATTCAAGTGTGTGTGTGGCTTCTTTAATCAGGCATTTGTTCCCTGCAGTCCAGCATTAAAATGTCGCCTGTTCACGCTGCCTGTGCTTTGCTATTTGCTGCACCCCTGCTGGTGCTCGGTGTTCCTCCTATTTGGACCCAGCCAGAACAGGTGCACCTCTCCTATGGAGGTAAGTGTTTGACCTTTTCCACCTGACACATGTGGGATACAGTTTTTCCCCTTGGTCAAAGGAGCTTGCAAAGAAAAGCATCTGGACTTCTTTAAGTTGCTTGAAGATGTTTCACCTCTCATCCGAGAAGCTTCTTCAGTTCTAAGGTCAAATGGTGGGGACCCACACCCATTTTCACACCTTGGCTCAGGCGATTAGAGGATCATCAGGGGGTCCTTTTGTCCCTCTTTGAGGGGATACTCCCACTAGGTTTAAATCTGGGACTCCCCACCATTTGACCTTAGAAGAAGCTTCTCGGATGAGAGGTGAAACGTCTTCAAGCAACTTAAAGAAGTCCAGACGCTTTTCTTTGCAAGCTCCTTTGACTACGATGACCTGGATGACTGAGAACCTTCACAGACATATTTTTCCCCTTTGAAATACACACAAGTATCCAGGTCACTTGCAGATTTACAGATGTTTTGTACAAATTGCTCAATATTCTGTTAACTGACTACATCTGACGTTTTTTCAGGCAGGTTCACAGAAATATTCCCTAATTGTATTTTTTGTAAATCATGTAGGTTGAGGACATCGTTTAATTACCTAAACTTCCAAACCTGTATCTAATGCAGCATAAAAATCCTTTTGTTCTTTTCTTATGAAGGTGAAACATGTGGTACTCATTATTGAACTGATGTCTTTATGCAAGTACCTGGCCAACTCAAGTCTGCCTTTA